CTTACAGAGTTCATGTCCCATCTCCCCCATCCCCAGCTTCTCTGCAATGCTACCTCTCTCCTGTTCCAAGTTCTCTGTGGGATAAACATTCTGAAAGCATTTCCCCAAACTTTTAATTGTTTCTTCTGTTTCTAGGCTAATGAGCCCTTCCCTCCCCCTTGAAGAAAGAGTCTTCTTCTTCCTCAAGGCCTTGGCATTGCTTGGGACCATAGGCAGGGTGAGGAGCAGAATTATTTGCTTCTCTGATCTGGTGGAAAGGGACTGTAAGTAATGGGAATGAGAAGAGGAACTAAATCTCAGAGCACCCTAACCCTGGAAAATGCATCTTCCCTGTTTTCTGTAAGACAGTTTAGATACACTTAGGAACAAAACAGTAAGCAAAGCAGAAAACTAAATAGAATGGAAAGATAAAGATGCAACAGCAGGAAGATAACATGCCAACAACAAACCAATATATAACAGTTATAGCCATTAATGTAAATGGTCTCAATTCACCAATTAAAAGAAACAAACTGGCAGAATGAATCAAGAAATAACATCCAACCATATGCTGTCTACAAGAAACCCATCTAATCCAAAGAATATTCACAGACTGAAAAACTGAATTTACAAAACTGAATAAATCCTCAAAGGACAGGAGGGGAAAAAGGAAAGTGATAATAATGATAGGATGTTTGGAAGCAAGGGAGAGTGTTTTGAAGGGTATGATAGCATTGTCATCTTTTTTTTTTCTTTTTGTCCTTTTTGAGCCAGGGTGTCACCTACATTTCAGACTGGGCTTGAGCTCACTTGGTAACCCAGGCTGCTCTTGAACTCACCATGATTCTCCTGCCAAGTGCTGGGATTACAGGCATGTGCCACCACACCCAGCTGGCATTGCCTTTTACTGTAATAAGTGGTTTTAATTTAAACTTTCACTATATAGTTCAAACACGCCTTGTATATTAGCTGGGAACCATCTCAGTCACTCAGGATATGGCAGCAAAGCAGATAAACAGCACCCCAGCTTTTATGGAATCTGAAATGTAGTAGAAGGAAAGCAATAGTAAGTAAATGCATGAACCAGACACTTTCAGAAAGAAATTAGTTCATGCATAAATTGGAGGAGTAGCACTGCCATACTATGTGCAATCAAATTGGAAATTAATGACAAAAGAAACCGCAAAAACTGCATAAACACATGCTAATTAAATAACACCTTCCTGAACAATCAGTGGGTTACAAATGAAATTAAAGAAGAAATTGGACAGTATCTACAATGAAATGAAAACACAAATACAGTTAACCATAAAATATGATGCACTGAAAAGATTCCTCATAGGTAAATTTATAATGGTGATTTGTCACATCAGGAAAACAGAAGGAGCACACATAACCTAATGTTGCACCTCATGTCTCTAAAAAGGAAGAGTAAGTCAAGCCCAAAGCCCATGCAAGGGAGGAAATTATAAATATCAGAGAAGAAATTAATGTCATTGAGAGTAAAAAAGCAATAGGAACAATTAATGAATCAAAGTTAGTTCTTTGAAATAATAAAATTTATGAACCCCTGTACAACCTTATTAACAAAAGGAAAGAAAAATCTCAAATTCATGTAATAAGGAACTAAAAAGAATCACCACAGATCTGGTAGAAAGTCAGACGATCATCAATAACTACTGTGAAAATCTTTACTTGTAAAGGATGGAAAACACAGAAGAAATGGGGAGATTTCTAGAAACGTATGACTCAACAAAGAAAAATCAAGGAGACATAAAAATTCTTAATAACCCAATATCAGTCAATGAAGTTGAAAATACAATAAAAACTTAACAACAACAACAAAAAGCTCCAGGCCTAATCAATTTATTGCTGAATTCTACAAGACATGTAGAGAAGATTTAATGACAATACTCCAAAGACTTTTAATGAAATTTAAAGGGAAACAATACCACCTAACTCAATTCTAGAGGTAAGTATTGCTCTGATAAGAAACAGAGAAAGACCCAATAGAAAAAGAGAACTACAGACCAATGAACATAGATGCAAAAATCACAGTAAAAAACAGAATAGAATAGCAAATAGTAAATAGAATGCAGCAAATCATGAAGAGGATCACACACCATGATCAACTAAGATTCATCCCAGGAATGCAGTGGTGTTTCAACACATGCAAATCAATTGGCATAATACATCATATCAACAGAGCCAAAGACAAAAATCATGTGATTTATCTCAATATATGCAAAAAACCCCACCTTTTGATAAAGTCCAACACTTGTTTGTGATTTAAAAAAAAACCCTGGAGAAACTAGGAATAGCTGGTCTCTACCTAAATTTGATAATAGCCATTCATGGCAAACCAACAGCCAACATCATACTAAATGGACAAAAGCTGAAAGCTTTCATTCTAAATGAAGAACAAGACAAGGATGTATGCTGTCACCTCTCCTATTTAATATAATTCTGGAAACATTAGCCAGAAAAATTAGACAGGAGAGAGAAATAAAAGGAATAAAAATATGAGAGGAAGAGGTTAAATTATCATTATTCATAGGTGACATAATACTCTACAAAACTACACCAAAAAACTTTTAGATTTACTAAGCAAATTCAGTGGAACAGTCAATACCCAAATGGATACAAAGTCTAAACTGAAAAATCAATAGCACTCCTATATACAAACTCACTGAGAGAGAAGTTAGGGAAACCATACCCTTCAAAATAACATCCAAAAAGATGGAATAGTTAGCAATGAATCTAACAAAGGAAAACAAAGTTCTATACATTGAAAATTGTAGAATTCCACAAAGGGAGATTCAATAGAAATTCAAAAAATGGAAAGATATCCCTTGCTCATGGATAGGAAGAATCAACATTGTGAAAATGGCCTACTTTCCAAACTGTTATATAGATTCAATGCATTTCAAATCAAAATACCATGGCCGTACCTCACATATCTAGAGAAAATATTACTAAAATTCATTTAGAAACAGAAGAGGCCCAGAATAGCAAAGGCCATCGAGGACAATAAAAGAAAGGCAGGATCACTGATTTAATATTATACTACAAAGCTATTATGATAAAATCAGCATGAAAAACAAATTAAAAGAAAAAAAAAAACTGACCTAAGGATCAGTGGAACCGCTTAGAATATGCAGACACAACTGCAAACACACTCAGCACCTTATCTTTAACAAAGAGGCAAAATTATTCAATGGAAGAAAAATTGTTTAATAAATTATGCTGGGTATACTGGCATTTCACATGCTGAAGACTACTGGGAGGCCATGTCTATCACAACACACTAAAGTAAAGTCACAATGAATGAAGGATCTAAATATTCAAACAGAAACACTAAATCTACTGGAAGAAAATGTAGGGAGAAATCTTGAAAACATATTTGTAGGCACAATTTATGAACAAAACCCAAACTTCATGGGAAGTGCTTCAAGGAATCATCAACTGGGATCTCATCTTTTTAAAAAACTTTTGCACATCAAAAGAAATCATCAGCAGTGTGAAGAGATGACCCACGTAGTACAGAAAAAGTTTAGCCAAATTCCCCTCAGAGAAAGATTTTCTATCTAGACTGTATCAAGAGCTGCAAAAAAATCAGGCAGCCTGAATTCAATGATCCAATCCAAAAATGGGTACTTGACATGAAAGCATACTTCTTAGATGAGGCCATACAAGTGGGAAAGAGAAATAAGCATATTAAAAATATTGAACATCATTGGTCATTTGAGAAATGCAAATTAAAACAAAACTGAGATTCTCTCTCACCCCAGAATGAAGGCCAATCGTCAAGAAATTGACGAATATCGGGGCTGGGGATTTAGCTCAGCGGCATAAGCGCCTGCCTTGCAAGCAGGCAGTCGTGAGTTCAATCCCTGGTACCGGTAAAAACGAAAAAGACAGGAAAAAAAAAAAAAAAGAAATTGACCAATATCAAATGCTGGCAAGGCTGTGGGGAAAATGGGACCCTTCTCCACTGTTGCTGGGAAGGAATGTGGACTGGTAGAACTGCTGCTTCAACCAGTGAGAGATTCCTCAAGAACACTAGGATTAGAGGTCCCATTGACCCTGCTTCCCCTCTGGGTATTCTCCCAGAAGAATTAAGAGCATCATACCACAGCAACGTTTGTGCACCCATATTTGTAAGAGCACAGTTTTTCGTACCTAAACCTTGAAAATAACCCAAATGTCCATCAACAGCAGAAATGACTAAAAAGATGGGTTATAGTCATACAGGCGTGTTCTACTCAGCTATAAAGAAGGATGAGTTCGAGGCTTTCTTAGGTAAATGGATGCAATTAGAGGCCATATTGATAGGTGAAATAAATCAGATGTGCATGTGTAAACATCATACTGTTTTACTAGTATAAGAAAATCAGAGTTAACAATATCCAAAATGTGCAATGCAAATCGGGAAAGGGCAAACATCTCCCGAAAAGAAAAGAACAACTGGATGGGAGGAAACCAGAAAAGGAGGAAAAGAAAAAAATATATATTTACACAAACAATACACCTCAGATAAACATACTAATTTCTTCTAGTTCATTGAAAAGAAAGGTTTGTGCTTATATTGTTTGATCAGTTTTTCAGGCTTGAGATTTGTAATCTGAACAGCTAGACTGAGGATAAAAATATGCAATATGTTAACCATTATTAATTTTTGATTATCTTGTATTGAAATTCTGTGTCATACTCTTTGTTGTTTTATTTCTTTAAAATAAAATTTAAAAATTCCGAAGAAAATTAGAACTTTTCCACAGTCATGAAACTGAAGGAGCTCTGGCAGAGGATTCCAATGAGGCGGCTGGAAAGGAGGGCAGAATTCCAAATAGATTGGCATTTGCATTTGCAAGGTTGAGAAGGGGAAGCTGGCAGGAAGGAACAGGGAGGCTCAGGACATTGGGGTGGGGCTTCCGTGTAGCGTGGTAGGGGAGGGGCGCTGGGTGAGCTTCAGCTTCTTGTTATAGCTCCGCTGCCCACTAGGTGGGGTGCTTTGTGACAAGGATAGCATAGCTCTGTGACCTAGGCCTGCAGCCCTCCTTTCTGATGTGCTAGGGAACTGTCAGGGCTCACTTGCCTGAGAACAACTGTGCGATTCAGATGTTAGAGAATCTTGTCTCTCTTCTGAACAGCTTTTGTGCCACATGGCTAAGCCTCTGCTCCACCCCTTGGGCTATGGATATGATCCTCGCCTTTGTGGGTGGAGTAGGGGTGTTCCTCGTGTTACTGCCCTTCCTCCCGGATAATCCATCCCTACCACCTCCACCCCCACTCAGGAAGAAGAAACGTTCCAGAAAGGTGAGAGATCCTCAGTCGCATGCTACAAAGAAAAACTCTCTCTTCTACTCTTCTTTCTACTACTTTTCCAAATGAAGGAGATTCTTCGCTTACTCATTCCTTTAATTTTCTTTTGAGATATGGTTTCTTTCTTTCTTTCTCTCTTTCTTTCTTTCTTTTTTTCTTTCTGTTTCTTTGTTTCTTTCTTTCAATCAGATACTGAAGTCAGACTGTGTTTCAGTAACCAAGTACCAGATTCCCTAGAGGGAAGACTTCTGCAGAAGGACAGAGTCACAGCACTGATTCCAAGAAGCCCTTCTTGGAGCAAGTTCCTCTGACTGAGTCCTGTCTGTGTGCTGCGCTGATCCATGGGCAGTGCTGAGCCCCTGGGGGTTTCCTAGCAGAGCCTAGAACCACTTCTGTCCTCAGGAAGCAGATTCTACTTGGGAGCTGAGATATGCCTGTAGACCCCTCTGCTTTCTGAGCAGAGATTCTGTGCTGTGAAAAAGACAGGCATGGTAGAGCTTGCTTAGAAAATCTTCAGTGCTTTCCAAAGAAGGAAACTGGATCCACTTTAAAAATGAATTTCATTTGCTAAATTGGAAAGTTATATTATTCAAGGACTTCGGGAGAATTATTAGGGAGAGAAGAGAGAGCATTGGATGCAAGCCTGTGTTTCTTTCTTGTCTCTCAGTACCACATGGTGAAGAAGGATTGGAGTAGGATCCAGAAAAGGAGCTGGACTCTGAGAGGTGAGCTTTCCTTCTTCCACCCTAGAGATGCCTTGACCTTGTTTGTCCCTGACCAACTAGAGACTCCTGCTTTGAGGAGGCCAGCTGGGGAGGCAAGGGAGGGTGGCTGAATCCTGGGAAGGAAAACAGAGCTGAGGACATTTCCCAGGCTCTGTGTTTTGAACAAAGCTGTGACAAACTTGGGGATGTGTGATGCCCAGAAGAGGTGGAGCAGGTGTCTATGGACCAGTGCTGCCCAAATTTGGTGGTGTGACCTCATTATAAAACAGTAGAGAACTGCTTCACTTTGCTATCACACAACCCTCTTTGAGATGATCTGCCCTTTCTCCTCCACAGCAAGGTTATGAAGAACCTGGAGGTTAGCAGAGATGGAGGCACCTTATAAATGATTAAGTGCTACCTCTCTGTGTGACTTGGTATCACTGTCACTGGTTTGAACAGTGATGCATGGATTCCACACGTGAGTTCCTCATTTTTCTCCAAAGACACATCCCCTCAATCTCCCCTCTTCTCCAATGTATTCCTTCCCACTGTCCTTTTCCAGTTCGCGGAGTCTTCTGGGAGGAAGCAGAAGGGATTAATGATCTGGATTCACTTCTGCATAGGTGAGAAACTTCCTACTTCTATCTGTGTCTGCTCCCTACCGAGGGCTATGAAGTGACCTTAGGGCCTGGGCTGGGTTTGGAGAGCAGTGAGCGCCCTACAACTTGGATTGGGGTGTGACTAAAACACTGGGTGAAAGGGCTTTGTAGGTCAGGATGCAGGGCCCTGGAAAGCCCATAGATTACAGTGGCATTTTCCTAACCAGCCTGCCTGACCTTCCATTTCCATCTAATCCCGACTATAGCTGGTGCCTTTTCTCTTCTTCAGCCACCTGGGGAATCTCCTACATGGTAACAGATTTAATCAATTGACAAGAGAAGATGCCCCTGGTGAGACACTCCAACCATTATCTGCTAGAACTGACAATGCAAGTAGGCAGCCTTTGGAGGACATGTTTGTCTCCCCTTCATCCTTTGTGGTTTCCCAAGCTCCTGCATCTGAGCACCTCCCATCTCTGACCTCTACCTTGTCACAAGGTCTGAAGACTTTCCCAGTTTCTGTTGGATCACAATTCCCCGTGAGGGCCTCTTCACCACCAGAGCCTTCGGGTCCTCTAGGATGCCTCTTACCCCAACCATTTTCAACTTCCTCTTCCCCATTGCATTCTCCTGGCCCCATGGCTTCCCCACCACCTCTGCCTGACCCCGGCCTGGCTCTTACTCAGCAGGATTCAACCCTCCTCCCACTGGAGTCCATCCCACAGAGCTCCTCTCCACCCAACCACTGCCCACTGCCTTCTCCTGTCCCAGCAATTTCAATCCTTGGTCACTCAGTCTGTGCCATCTCAGCTCTACCTCAGTGTCAGGAGCCTCCCAGAGCCTTATGTCACTCCAGCATTTCCAACAGTGAAGCCCAGAGAGGTTACGTTATGGGCCAAGTGCCAGAGACCTCATTCCTGGCAGACACTGCCCCAACACAGGTGGAGAATGGTAGTTCTCATTTCCTCAATCCTGAAGTCCAGAAAGTGCTGGAAATACTGATTACCAAGAAAGTGGAACTGAAGATCCATAAGAACACTAAAGGGGAGGGGCAACCCGGCCCCCTGCATTCTCTGGGGAATATGTTAGAGTCCCTGGGCAAAGAACAGGACCCTATCACCCTGCCTCCATTCTGGAAAACTGAAGCAGAAGTAGAGCAGCTTCCTACTTTGCCACAGCTCCCCTACCCGAAGATCTTCTGAGGGGATCATGTGCAACACAAAGGGAGCCAGCTTTTCTGGGGCCTCCCAGTTCTACACAGCGAGTCCCTGGTGGGTCACAGCAGAGTGCCTGATGCCTCACTAGAGTTTTCTACCATTTTATTCAATGGACTCTGTAATTATGTCCCGGCACTAATTCAGTCCAGTGTTTCTCCACAACTCTTTCCCCCTCGGGTCCACCAAGTGGCCCAGCCCCACACATTCACTCCAGCTCTGCCTTCATCTCAACTCCCATCTGTGTGTCAGAAACAGATCCAGGAACAAGTTCCATCTCTCTCAGTTGCCCCTTGCCATTCACCTCAAGCCATTTCTAGTCATAAAGATCCAAAACGGAAACAATATATTTCATGTACTGTTCAACATCTACAACGTGAATTTTTGAAGGAGCCAGAGGAAAAGAAAGATTTTCCTCCTCAGTTCAAAAAACCTCAGAAAGTCTTTAGCCAGCCTGCTGACAAACATGGGGTCATCCAGGAAAATAAGTCCCCTGGAAAGATCTCAGTAGATATTATCTACTGTAAGGTCCGGGAACAACTGGAGGAACATGTTCAAAAAAGATTGATGTGTGGGCTGCCCCCGAAGGCTCACCTCTTTCTGGACAGGGTAAACAACCCAGGAACAAGGAAGACCAAGGAAAATTGTGAGCCTTCCCAGACTTCAGTGATTTCAGATAAAAGCAGTCAGGTCATACAAAAAACCATGTCAGAGTTCCCAGAAATATCCCAGGTAGAGAAACACTCAAGCAATGACCTGCAGGAGGCACCAAAAGACCTATCCAAGAGTCTAGAAATCTCTGCAGTAAATATCCTAGAGTTCATCTGTGATCCAGAATCACCCAGGAAGGGGTTCAGACACTAAGAAGTGATTTAGGCAATGATTCCGCAAGCAGGCCAGATAAGAAGAATGTAGAAGACAGTGAGAGAATTTGTCCAGGTGGGAAGGTTGAGCAGACAGGAGGAAGAATCCCTGTGGGTAATGGTCTTTCCACCCTTACTGTAGACCATGCCTTTGACCATCCTGTAAACTCAAACATCCCCATGAAAACTGGGGATGAACCATCTTTGAAGGGTGAGGGGTATGGCAGGAACACCCAGAACCTCTCTGTCCTTGATGCTGGGTCTGAACAGGTGCTGGAAGCACATTTGAAAAGGTTCTGTGTGAGACACAGGTGGGGCCTAGCCTTCAAGGTCATCATGGTCATTTTGAAACAGATAAAGACTTGCACCTCACTGCTTCCACAGCCTGCTTCTTCCTCCTCAGCCTCCCAAAACTGCAAGGCTGACTCCACTAGCCAGCATGTCTGTTTTCAGGGAGAACTATCTCAGAGTATTCCAAGAGACAACATGAAAACAACTATATCTGTTCTCAAAATACAAGGTTGTGTCACTGGTCCCTCAGTCAAATATCTGAACGAGAGAATGTCTGCTGATGACCATGGACCCTCAGAAGCTGCACCAACTAGACGAGAGACCAGCCTCAGTGCTCAGTCCCATATGTACTGCCCTGAGAGCAGACCCCAGCATCCTGATACTGTCTCAAGGCCAGGGAGAGGCAGCGTTGGTCCAAGTCCAATCACAGTAATGGGCAAATATCAGCCTCAGGAGCAAAGAGGTGTGGTCTCCATAGACCCTTCCCATCATGGCTTGACAGGGGAGGTGAATGTAGGCTCTCCACGTTCAAGGGACAGAGACATCCAGAAGACAGTGGAGACAGAGGTGAAGAAATTCTCAGACTGGGAAGTTGCTAAGGGATCCAGCAGGATGTCACCCTCCCCAAATCTTAATGTGAGCCCCAGGAGTTTAAAGTCTCTGGGATTCAAGAAAAGCCTGCCCTCCCCCAAAATTTGTGCTTTGAAGGAGCCAGAAGACTTCTACTTGGGTGCACAGGCGGCGTGGAAAAACAAGAGTCAGGATTTGCCCAGCAGCTTCCTCCGGAAAGACTTTGCCCCTGGCAAAGTCTTTCAAGACTCTGCCTCAGAGATGCCCCTCACCAAAGACATCCAGGCTTCTCGGGCCCATAGAGCCAACACCCAAAGAGCATCCACTAGCAGCATATCACCTTCTCAAGGGATAGTCAACCTTTTAATAGGGGACAGAATGAGCAAGGATCAAAAGGAGCCCAGGATCTCAAAACTCCAGAATCCACAGCAGATCAAGAGCAAGAGATTTGGTCCACCAGAGAGTGGAGGGCACTTTGTGAGCCCCAGTAAAATGATCACTGGTTGCCCAAAACCTTCCAGAGGGATATGCCACCTCTCAGGGAGGGACACATGGGGCCAGGAACAAAAGGAGCCCAGGGTGTCCAAATCCCAGGAGCCCAGCATGAGCAATTGCCACCTAATCGCTTCACCTGAGAAGAGAGGGAACTTTGAGAGTTCCAAATCAGGAGGGAAGGATGAGCAATGTGCCGGAAGAAGGGGGGTTGGAGAGCTGAAGCCCCCTTCTCAGGTCAGGGAGGTCAGAGGTATCACAGGAGGCAAGATTCTGCCCGAGCCAGAAAAGAAAACGTCACCTTCAGAAGCTACCATTGGGAACCGAGTCAGGAACTTTCTGCAGAACATACTGCCCAAGAAAGACAGAGCCGAGGCAGAGCCCCTGCAGAAAGCCAAGCCCCCAGCCCAAAGTCAAGGATCAGGCACAAAAGGCAGAGTATTTAGGGACACAGGCAGTGCGGAAGCCCAGGTAATCATGACCACTGTTGGACGGATCTTAAAGGACAAACTAAGGCTACACCATGAATTTTCTGCCTCAAAAGAAAATTTGCAGAAAGGGGCACCCCAGGTAGATAGGTGGTCCGCCTGCCACAAGAATGCTTCCTCTCCACAGCAAAAGAGAATCCTGAGCAACATGGCCTGTGGTCCACAGGCCAGGCCCCAGCGCCCCAGCCATGTGACTAATGGAAGCCTGAGCAGAGACAAGTCAAGCAATCCTGCCTTCCCACCCAGGGAGCCTGGGCCCCTACCTGGTCACTTCCACAGGAGGCCCATGGGGGCTGGAGCCTCAGAGCCCCCTGTTCACTGCCCCAGGCACTGTGCCATTCAGAGAACTGTGTTCCCCAATCAGTCACATAATGCTTCCCATATCCGTCCTGGGGAAAAATCTTTGCTGAGCAAACCTGCTCTGTCTCATCCAGGCAGGTCTTATATGGACCAAGGTCATCTTTCTACAGAGATGTCTGTGGAATCCCAATAAATGACTTTTTCTCATCAGAGGTTGTGGTTTCTGTCTGTGTTGTGCTGAGGTCTGAGAAGTGCGTGTTTCCTTTTCTAAAGAGCAGCTTCAGGCTATGAGTTAGGCAAGTCCCTGGGTGTCTCCAAACTTCCTTTCCTGACCCCCCTTTGCTCAGTGCCAGGTTTTTCAGCTCACTTCTTCCTCTTGAATAGCTCAGGAATGCTCAGAAAATAGTGCCATGAGTCCCCCAAAATGCTATGATCAGTAGAGTGTGGTGACCACATTTGTTTCCTGGGTGAGGATTGTTAGGAGTAAGCTAGGAAGGGTTAAATGTAAAGGAGCTCTGGAAGTGGAACAAGGTTCTGGTAGGTGTCAGCGTTTAAGTCCACAAATCGTTCTGCTGTTTGGTGACGCAGCTGTGGACATGCCTCTGCGGAGGGGCCTTACAAGGTATGATAAAAATAGTGCAGGGATGCTGCTGGTGCCGTTGCACAGAAATGCAGGCTGCAAAAGCATGGTGTTGCGGTGCTGCGTGGCCAACAGCCTTATTTACCAGATTTGCCACAGTGTAGCTTATGACTCTTCCCTGAAATCAAAATGTCAATGAAAAGTAAATGTTGTGAAGAGACGTTGAGGGGACCACAAACACAATAAAACTACCCATGAAAGAGTCTGGGTTCGGCTTTGAAAGTCTTCTTAGTGAAATTGGCTACTTATGTTTATTCTGACTAATTGTTTTTGATGCATGTATACACATATATCTGCTCAATTTATTACTCCCAGAATTCACAATTCTCAGCCAAAAGCCTTAACCCAACACCTAATTTCATAACAGAAAATGGCCCCTGGGGACATAAGATAGTGTCAGTTCCAGCCAGTTTAAACTGCCACTTTCAACTGTCCGTGTACTTCAGTTCCCCTTTCCCAGGAGACTTACACCTGGACTTTCACCTCAGTGAGTGCCATCCCTAAAGAAAAAGCCCCTCTGCTTGTGTCCTCCTATTTCTGGTATCTCAGGAAAAGCTCTCTCCCTGAGCGGTGGGCCTGACTTCTTTGGGAGTGATCCCATTTGGGTCGAATGGAATAATAAAGCTGATTCTTGCCTCCTAATCTCTGTCCACTGGGTTCTCCATCACGGCCTTGCTATCACCATCCTGTGAAGAAAACCTGTTTGGGTCTCCACCTACTGTATGTTTCAACTTTAAACCAAAAATCACCCTAAATTGATGATCAGCAAACTCAAAGTGTCCCTAATAATGTACCCCTTAGCTCACAACAGTTGCAGGGGTAACCGTTTTGGTCCTTGTCAATTGTTTGATGTTGGTGATTTGTTAGGATAAATAAAACCCTACAGTATTGAGGACTGGTACCAGGGATAAAGTTCTCACACACAAAGCCTGCTTGGCAAGTGTAAGGTCCTGAGTGGTTCCTGGTACCCCACACCAAAGAGTACACTAATGAGCACTAAATATAGCACAAAATAAAAGTAAATACAAAGACATCCTTTCCTTCCCAAAGCTGGAGGGATGGCACAGATTGCTTTGGGAATAAGCCCAACCACTCAAGTCCAAGGTCCTTTTCCTATTTCCTGCGACTTGCTGGTGACAACTCACTAGGGACTGGGCCCCAATTCTGAGGTCTCTGTGACTTACATCATGGAGAGAGAACCAGAATTTGTCTAAAGGTAGCAGGAAAGATGATCTCTGCCTTTTTTTGATTTTCTTTTCTTTTTTTAATATAGGAACAATAGATTTTCAGAAATACAAAAGTCCTTGGTCTCCCCTCCCATCTCTTTTTTGGGATTTGAAGGCCCTTATGTCCAAACCACTCTGTTACCAAGCCTCTGCCTTGAATCATAACAGTTCTCACACATTCCTTTCTATCACTTCCCACCTGTTCCATTCCATTAATGTGTTGACATGTGCTTCCAAAAGTGTCTTTTGTCATTACCAAAGCTCTCCAGCCTTAACTAGTCTTTCCTTAGCCCACCTCTATTGTCTACCCAGATGACACAGACATTGACTCAGGGTCTCCTTACACAGTCAACCCCATCTTGTGGGGTCCTATTTACCACTGAGTTGCTTCTCATTACACTTTTATTAAGGTTATCAAAGACTTTGTCTCCTTCCCCAACAGGTACAGTATCCCCTTAATCTGCAGGCCATAGAGGGACTGGAACCCCCAGTGGATCTCCAACCTCCTCACTCCCAGACTTCTTAGCCTCATGAACTCTCCTCTATCCGTAAATAAACAAACAAAAAAACCAAAAACCAAACAGAACCTGTTACATAGCACAGGAACTCCACACTATCAATTACAATCTTCCTACGCACAATCCAATGTCCACAACTGAGAGGAAGCATAGGAAGAAGTACATAGGAAGGTGGAGTTGCATGTGCAGTATGATCAAGAGGAGGATGAGCCTGTTGCCCAGATGCCTTGAAAGTTCACTCCCTTCCCTTGTGAGATGCGCTGCACCTTACGCAGCTCACAGGACTTCTGCCCCTCTGAAACAAGGCCTGTGAGATCCCGTGGGCGTGGGACATTTTGTAAGTTACATCTCATTTTCCTTTTTCTGGATGAGTAAGGAAGAGATTTAGGTTTAGATTTGTAGAGTTTAGAAACAAAATACATTTTCTTGGCATAAATTGTGTGCACTGCCCCGACTTGTGGTGTAATCTCATTTCTAATTCATATCTGCTGATAAATCATTTTTCTCTCATTAAAGGAAATGATACATAATTTCAAAACAGAAAAACAGTAGGTTATAGTGGTTAAAGTACTGCGTATTATTATCTTCAAACTATTCTTTCAGATCACAAAGTATAGGTATGAAAAGATGATCAAATAAAGAATGAAAGTTAAAGCTATTCTTTCTGATGAGCTAGCACAGATTAGTAGCATAATCATCTATTCTTATACAGCCATATGCATCTTTAAATCAACACCATTCTTTTCCTTTGGAATGAGATGTAGGCCTGAAACTGAGTCCAGAGACAGAGACTGCCACATCCTTATTGCAACAGAAGAGAGGAGTGCAGGTCATTGTGTCACCACCTGTCACAAAGTCACGGTCTTGTACCCACAACTGGACTGTGTGAGTCACATGAGCATCATTTTGCTGTCTCCCTTGGCAACTGACAGAGAAGGCAAACAGTATACCAGAGAGACACATGTCCAGGATCTCAACCCAGTATCCCTCTGCACAATGGACTCCAAGGCTGTGCCCTTGGGAGAACTCAGGGATGTGTTCAGAATCCACTCTTTACTAGAGGGTCACACCACATGCCATCAGATGTGGGCCAAGGTCTTCAGAAAGGAAAGAAGTCTGATTTTTCACCGGTAAAAATGTTAGCCTCCACTAAAAGGTAAATAAAGGTCTTAGGCACTCTGTACCATAAAGCAAAGCAATGATATTTTTGTACTGAAAAATGTTTCAAACAACTTTTCAGAACCAGACTTAAGTGTCTCACAAAACTACCACAGATCTGTGATTTGACTTGCCCACCAAAGGAAAAAAAAAAATTAAGACAGCTCAAGCTTTTACTCTAACTATTGAGAAGATGATGAATGGTTGATGAGGACAAAAGGGAGCATTTCTTTAAATTTCTAGTAAAAGTTTTATTGAGATAAAATGCAGGGAACCTGAAATTCACATTTGCCCCTTATAGTCTGTGGCAGTTGCTCCTTCCACGGCACAGCGCTGCCTCACACCTGCAGGCTCAGAGCATCTTCCTCTTCCCCAGAAGGACTCCTCGTTCCTGTTAGCAGTCACTCCATCCTTCAGCTCCTCCTGACAACACCGGTGTGCCCTCACCAGGGATTTGCCAATACAGACACACGCATTCATGGAATTCTCAATAATAGCATCTTCTCTTTTTCTGTGTTCAGCATCATGCTTTTGAGGGACTTCACACTTTAAAGGCTGAGTCACATTCCACTGTGCTTACCAACCGCATTTGTTTATTCCATTATCATGTGATGAACATGTCCAAATCTTAGATTATCCTGAATAGTGCTTCTAGGAACACTCACATATAGATTATTTGCTGAAAACTTGCTTTCAATACTTGGTAGACCCCTAGGAGTAAAGCTACTGAATCCTATGTTATGTCGGAAAGGCACAGGGAAAGTCTCTGTGAAATTTTTCGGGTAAACTTTCTGGGTAGGATTCCAAGCACACAGGTTAAGTAAATAAATAAATAAGAGTAGAGCAAATTAGAACCTTTTCAAAGCAAACACAATTTACAGAATGAAGACACTGTCATCTGGTGACCCATTAGGACAAACTCATTCCCCCAGGTCACGTTGTCCCTTCTCATGGCGCAGGTGGGACGGGCTGCTGGGCTGGGATAACAGTGTGAGAATGGGCAGGTAAAGGATTCACTTTTGGAGTCTTGAGTTAATCCCCCACCTGTGATGTGAGATGCAACAGGGTCACTGAGATGGGATTCTTTATCCTGGAAGATTAGAGACAGTGCATGAAGACAGTGGGAAAGGGACACTGGACTCTAACACTAAGCTATTAGGTTCTCAAGTGATGTTTGTGCCTGTCATGTCCAGGGCTTTGGGTGGGTCCAATAAAAAGACAAGAAAATAAATATAAAAATAATTGTTGGGGAAAATAAATAATGATAGAAGAAATGGGGAAAAGGGAAATAAAACTAAAGCAGAGAAAGCTGGAAAATGAGTATGTGAGGAAGGAAAGTGGGAGACAGGAAAGAAAGGAAAGTTCTTTCAGTGTGGGGCCGCAGTGGGCACAGGGCTGTAATCAGACACATGGGAAACAGTATGGCGCTAGGGTCCTGGGTGTTTTTCCTGCAGTCTGGGTTCAGTTGTTTCTGTGCTTGCTCAGGCTCAGCCTCCTTCACTGTTGTGAGAGGCATTTGCTCACGTCTCATCTCACCCTGGGTCCAGATGGAACTCATGTCCTTTCAACCATAGGTGCTGCCTTGAGCTACACTTTGGGTACCTGATTGTAAGTGCAAAAGTGAGGGTTCTGATTATCTTGGTTGTCATAGTTTAGTTGGAGCTAGAGAT